TAAACTATGCAGTCTAATAAAATTTTATCAATGTGTCATTTCAGGACTTTTGGCCAAACTACAGCAACAATTGTTGCACGTAATTAGCCACGTTCGCGCACCATCTACAATCGAGACGTACCAACCTTATTGGCAGAGATTTCGCACCTTCTGTACCGAAGTCAAGCTCGAGTTCCTACCGGCAACCGACCTGACGCTAGCGCTGTGTCTCATCCATGCGCTCAACAACAAAGCAACTCTCTCCGCGATCAACCTTACATGTTCGGCAGTAGCCTTTGCCCACCGCATGACAGGCGAAACCTCCCCTACCGTCGGTCCATTCACCCTGCTGTGAAAATAGTAGGTAGAGTTAGGAGCCATAGCTAGGTAAGTCCTAGCTAGGCAAGAGAAGTTTAGGCAAAAAAGAGGAGTTCACTAGCAGCAATGAGGATACATATAGCAAACCCTAGATGGGTTGTACTCGCTATAGAGCACCCCACTACAGGCTAGAGAATAACATTCTGACACACCCCCATAGCCAAAGTGGGGTGTAATCAGTACAATGAGCAAGCAGGTATAGAGCAGGAGTTCACAAAGGTAAGCAAAGCTAGAGCTAATCACAGCGAGCAAGTGAGGAGGAGGAGGAGCTGTGGAGGTAGAGAAGATGGGAGGCAACGACTGAAGCTGCAGAGGCACGGGCACAGGAGCGGCTGACTCAGAGGCTACCGAAGCAAGGGCGACGGACTACTGGAGTAACTGGCTCGGCGGCTATAGAAGAGCGGCAGGAGCAACGGACCCACTGGCGACTGGTGCAGCAGGCTCACTGGCTACCGAAGCAAGGGCGACGGACTACAGGCGCTGCAGGCGACACGACAGGTACCTCCACACAACCTCCTCCAACTGCCCCACACCCTCGACACACACCCACTGCTCAAACCCTAGCTCCACTCCCACGCAACCCCCTAAAACCCTAAACCCTAGGCTCCCACACACCCACCCCCCTCAGCGGCAGCTGCAGCAGTGGGAGACCAGGGAGGAGGAGGAGCAAGGGGAGTAACACACAACCGCCACCCCCACACTCCTCACCCCCAAACCCTAATTCAGGAGAACGGGCAGCAGTAGGGGTGGGGCACCGTCAGAAGCACGGGGGACAGCGAGCAGGTCAGGGACAGAGAGGAACGGGCCGCCCACGGGCCTGGCACAGCCCGACGAACCGCGCGCAGGCGGCCCGAGCCGCGCGCGGGCCTGGCGCAGCCCGTACGGGCCGCGCGCGGGCCGGGCGCAGCCCGTACGGGCCGCGCTCGGGGCTGGCGCAGCCCGAGCTGGCCAGGACGGGCGACGGGGGACGACGGGCTGGTCCCCGTCGCCCGTCGAAGTGCCCCCCGGGGGCGACGCGCGGACCGACGGGGCAGAAGGCCGCCGCGCGCCTCGGGGCGCACGGCGGGCAGAGAACCGCCGCACGCCCCGGGGCGCACGGCGGGCAGAAAACCGCCGCGCGCCTCGGGGCGCACGGCGGGCAGAAAACCGCCGCACGCTCCGAGCGCGCGGCGGGATGAAAAATCCGTCGCACGCCACGGGGCGTGCGACACAGAGAGTGGCAGTAGCAGCGGAAGCAGTGAGGTGGTGAGCCCACCCACAGGATCGACCTAAGGGGATCGACCTGCTCTGATAGCATGTGAAAATAGTAGGTAGAGTTAGGAGCCATAGCTAGGTAAGTCCTAGCTAGGCAAGAGAAGTTTAGGCAAAAAAGAGGAGTTCACTAGCAGCAATGAGGATACATATAGCAAACCCTAGATGGGTTGTACTCGCTATAGAGCACCCCACTACAGGCTAGAGAATAACATTCTGACACCTGCAAGTGCGGGAGTTCGCCAAGAGACATGGTCCCCGACCTGCAAGGACCAAAGAACCCATATCTCTCCATCAAGTGCACAACATGGCCCGTCCCTTCCTTGAATCATCAATTCCGGCAGAATACCATAAAGGATTGATTCCTCTTCTCATGTTTTCGGCATTCTTGCGCTACTCTGACCTCGTATCGCTCCAATGGAATGATGTACAGTTCGAGGAGAAGGCAATGTGGCTGCTCATCCCGCACTCCAAGACGGACCAGGAAGGGAGGGGTGTCTGGATCCCAGTGGCGGCAATTCCAGGCCCATACTGCCCGGTGAGGTGCACACGCAAATTCATACGCATCGCAGGCCTCACAAAGATGCCACGTGGACCGCTGATAAGGGTTTTCCCAAAGAACTCGCAAGCCACACCGAACGACAACTCGCCATCCTACGTCACGATCAGAAACTGGTGTCTCGCGGCCGGCAGGCAGGTTGGACTGGATGTCGCGCACATCGGAACCCACTCATTTCGCAAAGGTGCAGCCACCGCGGCGGTAAGCCTCGGAGTTCCCGACCGGCTCTTCAAACGCATGGGCCAATGGCGCAGCGACAGCGCGAAAGGGATGTACGTTACAATCGCGCAGGATCAGCTCATCTCCCTCTCCACGCAGTTGCAGGATCATTCGACAGCTCCCTCACCCGCCACGCATCAGCTATCAATCGAACGGCACCGCCAGCCCCGACTGCACTTGCCTCAGAAGACCCATATGAAATGATAACGCTGCCTTTGCAAGTCAACCTAGGTAGACTTTCATAATATGATAATTTTTTAAAGTGTAATGAAATGTAACACTTTCTAAAATTTTGTATTGTGAAAAGGGGTACGTGGCCAACACAGCAAAGGTAGCGCCGAAGCGCTACTCACCCTCTTTTGCCTACAAAAGAGGGACGTGGGGACATTCGTCCACACCTACGTTTTCATTTCCGAAATTTTAGTTCTAATTTCCCACCCGCCCACCCATTTGTGTATGCTGTTATGTATACATATATATGACGAGAACGATGTACTACAATCCATATGAAATGATAACGCTGTCTTTGCAAGTCAGCCTAAGTAGATTTTCACAGTAAAAGCTTTAAGGCGAGCGTCCGCCAGCAGTATCATAAGTGGTTTCAGGAAGAAGGCCAAGAACAGCTAACCAGAGCAGGTACGATGGGCACGTGAGTCCCTATCTTACCGTAGATGATTGTCCCCCCTTTTGTTGCGCTAACTAAATATTGTGTGATTCTGTTGGTACAGGGAACTTGAAGAAGCCACCCCCAGAGGTGGTCGTGAGGTGGATCTCACGGGCCTGGAAAGCAGTGCACGCGGACCTCATCAAGCGCGCCTTCCTCACCTGTGGCATCAGCAACGCGCTTGACGGTAGTGAGGACGGCCTTGCCATGGCGCACAGGCAGAGCCAGCTGACCGCGGAGGTGGACGTTTCTGACTCTATCATCGCCGATGGCTTCTTTGGCAACAACAGTCAGGAGCCCGAATCCGACGAGGAGTAGATTTTCTAGATAGAAATGCTATACTTTGCAATCTGTAGCTAGATAAAACTGTCAGTGATGATGTTGTAGGTGAAAAGTTATCATGCTCATGTTTAGTGTTAATTAGATATGTTTTTTTTTTGTAATGAGTTCTCCACAACGTGAAAAGGGTGCGCTTATAATAAGTACTCCCTCTAGAGGGGGGGCGCTTATAATCGAGTTCCGGCCATAAGCACAATGCTCCATATAGAAGCGTCGGCGCCCTTAATCGGACGGCGCCTATATCCGGGGCCATACGGCATCAGTATTTCCACTTAGATAGTGAAACTTTTGTATTTGAAGCAGAAGTGAAACAAAATAATAAAAAAAATGAAACATGCGAATTTTTATCAGTTTTTTTTTGTTTAAAACCTAGAACAACATGTGCACAATCAGTGGCAATGTACAGCACTATGTTTTTTTCATGTTGCGTCATTGATACAGACTTGCTCACCCGACCTGCATACGCATACAGAGGAAAGCAGTAATGAGTCATATCTCTTCATCCCCGCCACGCGAAAACTCGTCAGAGACAGCAACGCTATCTGCGAGCAGATTGCGTTGGGACCACCATAGCCCTCGAATTATTGGGATTTCAAAAAACTGGGGAGCGACTCCTCGGGCAGTACAACGCGCCTCGTTGTGACGGTGCATGCGTTGGCACGATGTGATTAGTTGGCACGATGTGATGCGTTAGCTTTGGAGCTATTTTGCCTCAATGCAGGTGGAATTTGTTCTTTGGGTTGCGGTTTTACTTCACGCTTGGGGGGAATCGGGTTCGCCTTGCGTGGAAACAATCTACGAGCTCACATCAGCATAGCAGCAACGGCGTGGCAGCGCGCAGCAAGCCCAATCTTCATCACCTGCCCCCTCTCGCTCACGACATCCAATCAGCTTTTTCCTCTCTCAACCAGGGTCCACCCCTCTCCTAGATGTCAGCCCCTCACTCCTCCCTGTCCCCCTCCGATTTCATCCCGTCTCCTTCCTTTCTGCCTTGTCCTCGATATTTACTCCACCGACTCCTGTGTGTCAAGGCTCGGCAAATCCAAGGTTCCTGAAAACCGACCTTCCACGGTTCACGGAAGGGAGTCGGCCAACTTGGTTGCAAGATTGGCGTGGACATCTTGCGGTGCGACCCGTTATATGCAAAACCTAGACATTGTCCTAGCCACGAATTCTGACTCGTCTTTTTCTTTGTATTTGAGAAGAGAGCACAGTAGACGAGAACACTAGTTCCACTGCAAGCGTTCCCCCCAGCGCTGCTAGCGTCTGTTATTTACTTACAGCTCCGTAATCTGCAATACCAAGGCATCGCTACTATGGGTAACGTGGATATCAGCGCAGACATTCTTACCCATGACGGCCAGGTGTTTTGTGACTACAGCCGGCCACTCGGAAACACGGAGGAGGTACGCAAGTGCAACAAATGCAATCGCTAACCGTTCTTTCGTGACTGCGCGAATTCTGCGGTGCCGTCACTGGCGTCCACAAGACATGTCATCAGCATTGTGCCGGTTCTCTCTCCTCCTCGGATTGCTCTTGTATATTCTGCAGAACTGGCTCCGAGCCGTGAATGGAGGCACGGGGAACACGGTTGTGGGTGTCCTCATAAGCATGGAGGTGATGCGCGAGGCTTTGCAGAACGCGGTGAACAGCGTTCAGAAGAAGCATCCCAGGCTGCTCTCACAGCTTGTGTTCGTCAAAGGTCGCCCGCACTTCCAGGTGCGCTGCTACGTGCTTGGCACCAAAGCTTTTACCAACACTCTCCGCTGCGGATCAGGCCGAGACCTTTGTCGCAACAACCTGAAAGTGCTCACGGATGGCTACTGAATCTTACTCGTGCCTTGTCTTTTCTTCGTTGCAGACGACCTCCAGTGGCGTTGTGGAGGTCGACGTAATTGAGAATATCCCCGAGTCTATCTCTGCGTCTATTGACGGCAACGGGGAAGGTTCTGAGGAGTTTTTGGACGATTCCTTCGAGATCGGAAGGAGGTGTTCGATCGATGTTGGTGGTGGCAAAACTGCTGCTGAAGAAGAGGGCTTGGAATGCAGCGAGTCGGGGCGAAGTGGTTTCAAGATGAGTCTGTGTCAGGACCACTGGCTGAGAATCGTTGAATCCGCCATGAACGAGCCGTGGAAGTGTGACGAGTCGTCTGTGGGAGAGGAAGCTGCGAGCCTCCTGTGCTTCAGGATGTACAGGTAACGGCAACCATGGTGTTGCTTCACGGTTTTCTTTTTCAATCTAAAACAGATCAGGTCGGCTCTTTTCCATTGTACTGATTATTTCATATGGTTTTTGGTCTTCTTTACAGGCTTCACGAGGGCCGTTCCTTGATTCTTTTCCGTGCACACACATCTGTGTGCGACCGCAAGTCTGCTGGCATCATTGTGGAGGATCTCCTTTCCTTCCTTGATGATGAAGTCAATGGCAGTGGAAGCCGCGCTGATCTTGGCAGCGCAAATGAGTGCTCCGGAGATGAGCCCAATTCCCAGGACAAGGATCACTCTGCGAAGATCCAGAAGGCAGAGCTGCCAGTGTCAAGTCTGAAGGATGTGGAGAGCTGCATCCCTCCAGAACTTTCGAGGAAGCCATTCTGGGCTCATGGGCTGGATGTTGTTGGTAAGTGAGTGAGGCTGCTTTGTTGAATTCGCTTTTGTTTGGTCATATCCTGATTGATTTTCAACAGTGGTGTTGAGCAATTTTTAGTTGCACGAGTTAATTAAGCTCCCGCCACCCTCTTTTAAAATACAGGATATGGGCTGAACTCTCGCCGTTATTCATGGCTTCCGTTTCATGATTCCTCATCGGAGCGTCAGTCTGCTCTCATCCGATCTGGTCTCAGCAGATCTGACACTGAAAGGCTCAAGCAGGTGATGAACTGCACCCTCAAGCACCGCCAGCATCCCTGAATCTCGTTCAATGACCACGCCGCAAAACACTTTGTCTGATTGTTTCTTGTTTCGATGAGGTGCAGGCATGTGAGAAGCAGAACATTACCCTATTTGGAGCAGTTGCATGTGCAGCACTGAAAGCCGTGGCCAGTGTAAAGGAGCTGGGTCGCAAGGGAGAACACTTCGCTGTCACCACGTTTTTGGACTGCCGTCCATTGCTATCCCATGAGATCACCTTGGACACTGTTGGTACGATTTTGTTTTTCTCTCATCTGCTTATCGCAACGACCATTTTTTCCACAAAATCTCCACTTCTATTCTATGGGAATCGCTGATTTTGCAACCTCAAATTGAAATCTGTTCAATTCTTGTCCCATGCAGCATACTTGAGTTCCGTTGCTGCATACGGAGTTTTTTTCTGCCTGGACTGGTGTTTCCACCTCTCTTGCACTTACACTGACCTCTGCACTTCCCTCGCTGCAGGGTTCTACCATTCGGCCATGATGCACACACATCAAGTGAGCGAAACTTCAGAATTCTGGGACCTTGCAAAGCGGTGCCATGAGTCGACCCTGCATGCCATCAAGAATAGAAAGCACTACACTGACATGGGTGACCTCAACGTGCTCATGGCCCAGGTGAGTGTCGAGAAAGATAACAGTGAGAAAGAAGCACTGACGATTTACATACAAGGACATTATGGCACCTGCATTCCCATGTTCTTTTGGGTATCTTTTCTTATGTTATGTCCCTTGCTGTTTCAATGTGCAGGCTATCTTGCATCCCCAGCTCACCCCAGAAAGCTCTCTTCGAACGTCCACTGTGTGCTCCTTCTGGGATGCCCTGCACGAAAGGATGCAGGTGAGGAGTTGTCCAAGTCAATACGTAAGCTTCTAAGCTATGCAAAATGTGTTGTTTGAGAAATATTCCCCTCGCTGCTTTTTGCAGAGATTTGTGGAAAGGTTGGGTGTGGAGGACTATGTTGGCTGCTCCTCGGTCCATGGTGTTGGACCCTGTTTTGCCATTTTTGATTCATTGCGTGAGGATGGGCTGCACCTATCAAACGTCTATCCCACGCCCCTCTTCTCGCATACCCTGATGCGCCAAGTGATAACAAGGATGATGGAGTTTTTGCAAGAAGCTTGCGATGGAGCCAAGTAGCTTATTGTGCGTAAACAATATCTTCATATAGTTGCTCATTGTACAGGCTGGTCTCCACAATTTTGTTGTACCGAAATGGTTGTGCAATATATGTTTTGGCATTGGAGGATTTCAGGCATAAGATAATCGGATGCAGTTAGTTCACTACCCTGCAGCTGTATGGACTGAATCTTATCGGGTGTGTCAAACCCTCGCTTGAACCCTGCTCCTTCCAAGTTGGTGTGCAGAGCACTACACCTAAGCAAAACACACTTCCCTTCTAATCAGAACGGTCGTTCCCCACCACTGACCCACTACAAAAACCCCTGCCTTGTGCACCACCACCACACCATTCTCGGCACTGGCTGGGTTCTTCCACCCTCTCTGACCAGCTTGAAGGCAGGCTCCTTTCTTTTTAGGCCTTTATCTTGCTCCCTCTATACTAAAGGTGGGAGTGACTGATTGACTAATTGACTGGTTGAGCGAGTGAGTGAGTGAATAAGCGAGTGAGCGCGACAGAGATAGGCGAGTGAGAGGGCAGCGCGAAAGGGACCATGACAGGATCCACGGAGGCGGAGGCGCAGAAGGAGACAACCACCGCCCACGACACTAATGCGGAAGCCACGCCCACCCCCATGGACGCATCGGCCGCTGCCAACGACACTGATTCCGCCGCCCCCGCCGCCGCCTCTACAGGAGAGGATAAACCCGCGGCGAAAGATGCTGCCGTTGTAGAGGATAAGCCCGCCGCAGATGCTGCGCCTGTTGCGGCTGTGGCGGGTGCTGGTGCGGAGAGCAAGGCGGGAGAGGGTGGGGCGGACAAGGGCGAAGCGGGCGAGGGAGAGAAGAAGACCGCGGCTTTCAGCCCCGCCACCCGCGCAGAGATCCTCCGCCAGGTGCGCGCGCGCGGGTCATCCTTGCTTTTGTGGGCGCACACGTGCTTTTGATCCCGTACTCACAATCTCTCTTAAGCCTCGACACCATTCGTTCTCTCCATTGCTCCTTCGGTCTGGCCCACAAATTCGTCTCTCTGCGACTGTTCTTTGCGACAGTGGTGTGTGTCGCTACTTCCTACCCTAAACCCTGACCTGTTTTCGGTTCCCGGCTCTCACCTGTTCGCGCCGATCCGCGCATTGTTTTGTTCGCACGCGTCCGCGCCTATCCCGGGCTATCCCCGCAGGTGGAGTACTATCTGAGCGACAGCAACCTGCCGCGCGACCGCTTCATGCAGGAGAAGCTGCAGGAAGGCAACGGATGTGAGTCATTTCCCGGGGGAGGCGGAGGTTAAAGAGAGAGAGGGCGAGGGAAAGGTGGGGGTAAGGGGAAGGGGGGAGGTGAGGGGGGAAGGGGGGAAAAGAGCTACGCAGGTGGAGAGATGAAGGAGAAAGATAGCCAGAGGAGCAACGCATGTTTAATCTGCGTTTGAAGTAGGGTTTAGGCTTTAGAGTCGGTTTGAGAAGACTAGGAAATTTAGGGGTTTGGGGGTTTGGATGATCTGTCTGTCCGGAGCGAGAGAAAAAAGAGGGCGCAAGCATTGAGCTGTCAGTGACGGATGATGGGCAGCGGTCGACTCGAACGGAGAACACGAAGTGAGGGCGCTCATTGTTTCCCGCTCCCTTTTGTGTCTTTCCTTCATAAGTCACGAACGATTGCTTCATTGTTGCCATATGTTTCTTTCCGCTTCCTCCCTCCCCTCCCCCCCCCCCCCCCCCACACACCCCTCCCTCCTTCCTTTATCGTTCGCTCCGCCCTTCCTTTTCCCAACGCCTTCCCCCTACCATTTCCCTTTCCCCCCCTCTTTCACCCGCCTAACTCCCCCTCTCGCCCCGCCCGCCCGCCCGTTCCGCCCTGCGCAGTCGTGCCGCTGGCGCTGCTGTGCACGTTCTCCCGCATGCGCAAGCACCTGGGCGTGCTCCCCGACGCGCCCGTGCCCGCGCACCTCGTGCGCGCCACCTACGAGGTGCTCCAGGCGTCCACCTTCCTCAAGTTCTCCGAAGATGGTGCGCGCGGGGGGGGGGGGGGGGGGTGGGGGGCGGCGGGGAAGGGGGGGGGGGGATGGGGACGGGAAATGGACGGGGGGGGAATAAACGGGAAGCTGGGAGCGGGGAGCTAGGAGCATTGTGCGTGGAACGAGGATGAGGGCGGGGCTCGGGAGCGAGCAGGGGGAGTGGGGAAAGCGTGAGGAGGAGAAGGGTAAGTGGTGCTGGGGCCATCCCGCTGACTTCCGATGGTGATTTTGCTCCTCCCCTCCCATCCGCCTTACATCCTTTCCCTCCCAAGTTCCTCTTCTCTCCCTTAACTCTCTCCTCCCTATCTCCGGCCCCTCCTCTCCCCTCCCCCCACCCTTCCCCTTCTCCCCGCGCGCCTCTCCGCCAACAGGCAAGCTGGTGGGGCGCGAGGGGGAGGTGGCGATGGGGGAGGAGCGCATAGCGGAGATCAACGCGCGGTCGCTGTTCGCGGAGCCCTTCCAGTGGAACTCCACGCTCGACGACATCCACGCCTTCTTCTCCTCGCTCGGGCCGGTACGTGTGGTGGAGAAGCAGTATGTGAGGAGAGACCATCCCATGCCATGCCATGCCATGCCATGCCATGCCATGCCATGCCATGCCTTCCTCAGCGCCTCTCATGGGCGTCCAGCGTCCAGTCACCCACCCCCCCCCCCCCTCTCCTCCCCCCCCCTCCCTTCTCAGGTGAAGAGTGTGTGCATGAGGCGCCATCCGGCGTCCAAGGCGTTCAAGGGGTCCGTGTACGTGGAGTTTGACAGTGAAGACGCCATGCGCCTCGTCGCTGCCAAGACGGACGTTCTCTTCAACGGCGCCACCTTGCTGCTGCAGCCCAAGTGCGTGCTGTGCGTTGCTGTGCTTTGTGGTGTGTGGTGTGGTGTGGTGTGGTGTGGGTGTGGGTGTGGGTGAAGCGGGGAGTTTGTTAAAGAGGGGTTGGGGAGTGGTGGAGGGTGTTGGGAGTGGGATGAGAGTTGGTAAAGAACAGTGGTGCGAGCACGCACTTTCAGGGATTTCGGAACGCATCTCGTTCTCTCAACTTGTGATGTATAGCGATGCCCGTGCCCATTCGTCTCTCATCTCGTCTTGTTGCACTCTGCAGGAACCAGTGGTTGCAGCAGGCGAGGGAGGAGTGGCAGAAACGAGTGGCTGAGAAGGGAGAGGAAGCCGGGTAAGTCGCCGCCGCTGCTGCTGCTGCTGCTGCTGCTGCTGCTGCTGCTGCTGCTGCTGCGCCTCCTTCTTCCTAAGATTCCCCGCCCATCCGTCCATACCCGTCCACACCCCGCCATACCCCTCCATTTCCGCCCTCGTCCCTCATGCTCCTCTCTCCTTCCCGGTGCCTACCCCGGCCCTCCCCTGCCCTACACTACCCTTTTTTGGCATTCGCTGCTCTGCCCTGCCCTGCCCTGCCCTGCCCTGCCCTGCCCTGCCCTGCCCTGCCCTGCCCTGACTGTCGTTGCCCCTTGGTTGCCCTGCGTTGTCCTGCAGGCGGTTCGAGGCAGAGGATGGCGACATGGACCTTCGTCCTCCTGCCAAGGCAAGGCGCGTGGAGGAGGGCGGAGAGAGAGGCGCGGACGGGGAGGGCGCGCAGGGCGGAGAGGGCGCGGACGCGGAGGGGGAGGAGGATGAGGAGGAGGATGCGTATCCCAAGGGGTTGATTCTGGGGTATACTATCGTGGTGCCTGGTGGTGGTGATGGGGATGGTGCTGGGGAGAAGGGGAAGGGGGATGATGGGGGGAAAGATGGGGTGGGTAATGGGGAGGTGAAGAAGGAAGAAGAGGAGAAGAAGGGAGTGAATGGGAAGAAGGAAGGAGAGGAGAAGAAGGAAGGGGATGAAGAGATGGCGGATGCAGCAGCGGTGGAGAAGAAAGCAGAAGAGGAAGGGAAGAATGCAGAGGAGAGTGTAAAGGAAGGGGAGAAGGTGGAAGGGGCAATGGAGGGGAAAGAGGATGAGAAGAAAGAAGAGGACGAGAAAAAGGATGGGGAGAAGGCAGAAGAGAAGGCAGAGGATAAGCCGGAGGAGAAGGCGGAGGGAGAGAAGAAGGATGCGGAGGGGGAGGCACTGGGCAAGAGGAAGCGGGAGGAGCGGGTTGTGGCAGAAGGGGTGACCCGAGAGGAGTGCCGCTTCGTGTTTGAAAAGTTTGGCATCGTTAAGGTGGGTCTTCCGAAAGCCTTTTTTTGTTCCTAGTGGTAAGCAACTACCATGCCTATGTCCGTACCCGTACCTGCAGTTTTGAGACCTCTCTGGATCTTTATAAGATGTCTTAGAGTCTGTTCCAAGCGGCATGGCATGCACCATGGCATGGCGTGCACCATGGCGTGGCTGTGCCTGTGCGTCCAGTCAGGCCTGCTGCATGTTCTTGCTTCGTCCGCTTTGAGAATACCTTTTTTTGTCGCCTCAAAAGTCACCTTTCTTTTCGCATCTCCCTACCCTCTTCCTGCTTCATTTCCCATCCCTCCCCTCCCTCTCGCTCCCTCGCTGCAGTTTGTGGAGTACAAGGCAGGCGACTTGACTGGCTTCATCCGCTTTGAGACGCCTGAGGGGCCCATCAAGGCCAACAACAAGGCCAAGTCCGCGCCTGCTGCACTCACCATCAAGGGCTATCCTGTCACTGTCAACATTCTCGATGGTGGGTTGGCTCCTGCTGTTTCTTTGGTATATGCAAATTACCCCTAATTCTCGAAGAGCCCCTGCTGTGCTCACCATCAAGGGCCAACCTGTCACTGTCAACATTCTCGATGGTGGGTCGAGCTGCTTTACTGCTCTGCTGCTGCTGCTGCCGCCACCGGCGCCGCTGCTGTTGCTGCTGCTGCCGCCGCTGCTTTGCTGCCTTTGCCTGAATGGAGAGCTCACTTTGTCTCGCTTGCGTGTGTATGACGCTGTGGTTGAGCAGGGGAGGAGGAGGCAGCGTATTGGAGCAAGCTGAGGGACGGGCAGAAGAAGCGCAAGGACTTCGGAGGGGGCAGATTCGGTGGTGGTGGCTTCCGGTAAGTTTGGAGTCGACTAGAAAGTCACCTTTTTGAGTGAGCGAGGATGTTTCTGGATCTTGCCGTCCTTTTCTCCTTTGTTCCCCGAAACCGCTCCCTTGCGCTTTCTTTCTGTCACGCACGCACCCACTGCAGCACATCACGCATGCACGTACGCACACCAAACCTTGACTCCACTCCACAACCACAAATGTCTTGCTCCCACACTCTTTGCCTCTCTCGTTGTGCTCTCCCATCTTCCCTTACTAACATGCCCGCTTCTTGTGTGACTCTTTGCTTTTCCTTCTCTTGTGCACGTCCTCTACACCTGCAGAGGTGGTGGCAGGGGGTGGAGGGGAGGCAGGGGTGGGAGAGGAGGGCGGGGGAGAGGTGGAGGTCGGTGGGGGAGGAGAGATGGGCACGGAGGAGGAGGTAGGGGAGGTGGCGGAGGAGGGAGGGGAGGAGGGAGGGGGGGAAGCCATCAGAGGTTTGATGAATGAGAGAATACACGTGGCTGAATGCTGGTCTTTTGGGGGGATGGCGGTATGGTGGACAATGGCACAGGGGGTGGCTGTGTACTGCTCCTGACTAGCTTTTGAGGCCACAATTGGTTGGTTGGTGGTGAAGTGGTGGTGGAACACTGGATGTTTGGAGACTGGGATGTAAGGCACCTTTTTGGATGGTTGTGCATGCATTCCAATGCTGCAATTGCAAAACTATTAAAGTAAATTCTGTTCTGGCTGTTGCAAGCAGATTATTCAATGACTTGTGTACACCATTCCAGCTTCTGACATTCTATTAACAAGGCTGAGATCAGATTCACAGAAGGCTGAGATCAGATACATTCTCCACCTTGCAATCTGACTTGAGCGTGACATTGTCCCTCCCACTGATGATTCTTGCTACAACCATTTCATTCACCTGTCAAGATGTTATAATGCTTATATTGTGTAGGTTGTAGTGGGGTAGCACATAAAGGGTACATCCCAATTAGGGTTAGTACTTCTACCAACTTTCTGCTCAATGCATTCTTTCTCGTTTAGTTTCTTGACATGGTTTCAGAGCAGGTCTTGTTCCAGGACCGTTCTTTAGGGCCCACCGCATAGTTCCCTGCCCGTAGCGCTGCCCCACTAGTCGCGCTGCCCTGCCCTGCCCGTCGCGCCGCCCTACCAGCCGCGCGCCGCCCTGCCCTGCCTGTCGTGCCGCCCTGCTGGCCGCGCGCTGCCATGCCCTGCCCGTCGCGCCGCCCTGCCCTGCCCGTGCACCGCCCTGCTGGCCGTCGCGCCGCTCTGCCCTGCCCGCGCGCCGCCCTACTGGCCGCCGCGCCGTCCTGCCCTGCCCGCGCGCTGCCCTGCTGGCCGCCGCACCGCCCTGCCCTGCCCGCGCGCCGCCCTGCTGGTCGCCGCCCTGCCCTGCCAGTTGCGCCGCCCTACCCTGGCCGCGCGCCGCTCTTCCCTAACCGTGCGCCGCCCCGCCCTGCCCTGCACGCTTCCCTAGTGCTCGCGCGCCGCCCTGCCCGTCGCGCCGTCCTTGCCTGGGTGCTGCCCTGCTGGTCGCGCGCCGCCCTGTCCGTCACGCCGTCCTTGCCTGCGTGCTGCCCTGCTGGTCGCGCGCCACTCTGTTCTGCCCGCTAAGGCTTCTCTCAATGTTCTCACCTTCGCTCATGAGGGCCGTCCGATCCAGTTCGATACGTGGCTCGATGACTTACAAGCTGTACCTACTGAGCGATTCTAGAGACACCGTTTCGTTGTTTGACCACACGTCTGGAGCCTCTCTCGCCCCTCCCGACACAGCTGACAGTGCGACTCGCTCAAAGTGGCTTACCCGTGACGCTGCTGCTCGCTTAGCCGTTCGCAACCACCTGCCGTTAGCCGAACGCGCTCACTTTGGCCAGCACAAGACTGCTAAAGCCCTGTACGACGCTTTAGTCGCTCGTTACTCTTCCCCTGCCACTGCTGCTCTCAGCCGCCTTATACTGCCCTACTTTTTTCTCGAGCTGTCAGCCTTTGCCACAGTCGAGGACCTCATCACCCACCTTCGCACTAACGACGCTCGCTACCGCGCTGCCCTCACAGACGATTTCCTAGACAAGAACCCGCCCCCGATGTACATCACTCTCTACTTCATAGTCACCCGCCTCCTTGACTCTCTTCACGCAGTCAGGGACCACTTTCTCGCACTTGACCCCACAGACCTCACAGTCGACCTGCTCGAAAAGCACCTCCTTGCAGCTGAGACTAGCGTAGTCGCTGTAGGTGCTGCTCGTGGCACTCCTCGCACACCCTTCTTTGAGGGGTGTTCCCCTTCCCCCCTTGCCCCCTCCTACGCTTCTGCTGCTGTTGTTGACATCCTTAGTGTTGGAAACAATTGTTTTAGCGCTTCTGTCGTGTCGAAACATCAAGTCAGAAGCGAAGCAAAACATATCGAAGCATTAGCGAGTCAACCCTCGGAGGTTGAACAACTGCTGGAGGTTATGCGAAAGTCAAAGGTCAGCGACTTTTGACCTGACAAATACAGCGCGACAGCAAGGACAAACAACTGACTCGCTATTGAGCAGTTGCCCGAGTCGTCACTGTATCGAACCGCAACAGCAACAGCAAAACGGTTATTAACTGTATCTCTTCGTATTCCTTGTACTCTTATAAAAACTTGTATCCCTTTGTTTTAATCAATCTACTTTGCCCTCACATACTAGCGCAAGGTGGTTCACAAAGTTCTCATTAAACGCTTCCGCTATTACATTGTCCTACTCAGAATTTAATCCTGCAAAGATCCTAAGGGCTTTTCTCAGCCCAACATGGTATGAGAGCTATCAGGACAAATTCAACTACAATCAAGACACCCACAACATCACAAGGCATGGCAACGCAGAAGGAGAGAAGCTCCTCTAACGGCTCTCCCGATACTACTCCTACTCCACCTCCTGCCTCTGGCCTACAGATAGAGGAGGGTACGGCAACAAGACCAAGGGCAACGTCTACAAAAACTCCCGCAAATCAAGCCGCGGCCTTCGACCCAGACATGATGGAGAAATTCTTCTCCTTCATGTCCTTCTACGAACAACACCAGCAAGGGGCACCTGCACAGTCAAACAACAGCAACAACAACAACGTGTTAGAGGTCCACTGGAGATCCCCGATTGATCATAGGGAAGGGTTACAGGCATGTTGTCCTGGGGGGTTATGGGCGCACTGACCCGCTACTTAATAAGCCCTTTTATCCCAATGGTCTAGTGGTTGGGATTCTGACATGGTATCAGAGCGAAGGTCTCGGGTTCGAATCCCAGTGTGTGCACCTCGGGCATCCCAGTGCGGGGGGGTGTTAGAGGTCCACTGGAGATCCCCGATTGATCATAGGGAAGGGTTACAGGCATGTTGTCCTGGGGGGTTATGGGCGCACTGACCCGCTACTTAATAAGCCCTTTTATCCCAATGGTCTAGTGGTTGGGATTCTGACACAACGCAACACCGATGAGCCTCGACGGTTCATCCTACGCACGAGGAAATTAGCAACAACCTACCTTCGCCCCGTACGAACCTCAACGCGGCTCCGTCAGCTTCATGCCGCGCCAGCAGCCTTCACCTGAGCAAGAGAAGACACTAGATGCACTTCAAGTTCAGTCGCAGTTTGCGCACGTTTTAAAACTGCAGACGTCAAAACCATTCGACGGAAAGGACTTCTTTACCTGGTCATTCGAATTCGAACTGATGATGGAAGGCGCACAGATTCTTGGCTTCTTCGATGGGTCTCTGCCATATCCAACAAACGGCACGCAATACGACAAACAGCAGTATGCGTATCAATCTATGATGGCATATACAATCCTACTGCGCAACGTCACACCGAACCAGCAGCAGAACATTCGGTCTTACCGAGGATACGGAAACTCCGTCGAGCTCGCGTACAACCACCTGAAGAACCTGTATCAGGCAACAGACAGCGTCAATCAGAGTCGGTTAATGGCACAACTAAAAACAGTGGAAATGAAACCGGGCGAAAAAGGGATGGCGTATATCAGCCGCTGTCGCGAATTGCGCGACAAACTCCTTCGATGCGGAGGGTCGATATCAGAAGACGCCTTCGTCACAGTCGTCATTAGCGGTCTTGGTCCTCATTGGCGCTCCACTCGCGCCATACTCCGAGCTCACGGGAAGATCTCCGAAGCAGCATTGTGCGCTGAAATTCACGCCGAACAGCAAGACATGGGCCTACAAGAAGAAAAACACAAGAGGAAGACGTCAGTGTCTGAGTTCGCTTTCCACACTCAACGGCGCTACAACAACAACAACCATCGGCAAAACAAGTACCAAGGTCAACAACCCGTACCTCCGTTTTGTCATCTCTGCAAGACGTCAAGTCATCCCCGCACACACTGCCCTAACCGACAACAGTCAGTACCAACGCAGCGGCAGCTTCGACCTTCAAGCAGTCAAGTAGCCTCAACGCAAGCGAATTCCACCACTCAAGTTCAAACGTCAACAACGTCGACGAGACAACCTGCACAAGGAACAAGGGACATCGTCAGCTGCATGGCAAGATTGACCGACTCCTGCATCACTGAATCGCCGCCGCACTACTCACCAGAAGAACAACTCGACGAAAGGACTCCACGTCGAGAATCGCTACAACCGAACCCAACGTACGCAGCCATTGCCCAAAGCGAACCGTCTGGGAAGGATACCTGGTTCTTGGACAGTTGCTGCGGACAACACGTGTGCTCTTCAGGACGCTTTGTTCAACGCGAACACGAACTTCAACGCGAGGTCGTCATCACCGTCGCCAACAATCAGAACCTGCGCACACGACGACAAGGCGTAGTGCAACTTCAGTCACGAGAGACAAACGTCATACTGCAGATGTCGAAGGTTTTAATAGCAGAAGGGCTCTGTTACAACCTACTGAGCGTCAGTCAACTGATGGCGAAGGGCATACACCTCGAAGCAGACAGCACCACTCAGGAGTTCAAGTTATACCACGGGAAGGGCGGTCTCTACATCGGGAAGGCGGTCCTGAAAAACAACGTCTTCGTCCTCGAATTCGTCCCAGATCTTGGCACCGCTGACAGCGACGGGATTGTCACTTTCACCTCCTGGACACATACACCGGATCTCGACCCCGACTTCAGTCCAGAAGGTTTCTGGTACTCGCACACCATCCCTGAGGCAGAACGAACAAGAGCATTAGCAACAATTCAACACTCGGCAGCAGCAGAACCAACACCGGTTGAAGCAAAGACAACATCGGCAGCAGCAGAAACAACGGCAGCAGCAGCGGCAACATCGACACCAATCGCTGGTCCTTCAACTGCATCGGCTCCAATCAACGACACTCCACCGACTCCTGCGCAGCAGCTTAACCCAACACCACGAGAAGTACATCGTAGCGCAAATTTCACCGCAAGCTTCTACTCCAACTCCGACTTGTACCGTTGCTCACCCGGACATCGAGTTGGCGAAGACATCTGGCACGCACGAATGGGACATCCAAGCAACACGGTGTTAAACAACACAATTAGAGCAGGAGTACTCGACAAAGATTCACTACTCCTAACCGATGGAAGCGAACTTCGACGAGCTCGTGGAACGTGC